AGATGTGTTTGATGAGGACACAAGAGAGGGCCTTCTCTGTGATTCCTCCCAGACTCTGGAACTCCCTCCCACTGGAGGCCAGACTGGCCTCATCTTTGTGGTCCTTCCACAAGCAGGCCAAGACCTTTCTCTTTTGATAGCTTTCTCTTGGGGGGGGGTGGCTGAGTAGGATTTTTTAAAGAATTGCTGCGCCTTGTTGCTTTTGAATATATATTTGGTGCTGGTTTTGTTACCATCTTTCAGCATGGTGTCTGTCTAATCCTTTTTTAGTATTTAGACGTGTCTTGTTTTTAGCTTTAAACACTGTCTTTTTATAATGTACAGCACCTTGGGTCCTTTTGAAGAAGAAAGGTGAGATTAAAATATTTTAAATAATATAAATAAACATTCCTTCACCCTCCTTGTGGGCATTCCTGGATTTCTGGCCCAGGTGACACTATATCTCTTCCGTATTCACCCAATAGTCTGAACACTCTCTACCCACCAAGATTATGTGGATATTCAAATCCCAGGGCCCATGGTCTCTAAAATTACTGCAAGCCGCCTAGAGTGGTCCATCGGTCCAGATAGGCAGGGTATAAATCAAATAAATAATAATAATATGGAGACACAGGCTACAGGGAAGCTTCCTAAAGCCTTATGTAGGCAGGAAAAAGTTTCCAGATGTGAATGGAACAATGTCTTTGAAGGCAATCAAAGGCCTTGCTAACTCCAATTATGATGTAGCTCTTTTTATAGAAGGTTTGAATAATCAGAGCAAGATGGGATTTGGCAGAATAGATACTGCAACTATTAGTTGGGAGGATGTGCTTAAAGGGATTCTGCAAATTTCTGAGCTATTCAGGGCCACAGGAGCAATCGAAAGGGCCCTTGCAAGTAGAAAACTCCAGTCTGGAAAGGTGGGTAAGCCAGTGGGGCCAGGCAGCTATTGTGCCCGCTGGCGATGCCCTCCAAGTGCCAGCTATGGATGGGCTACTTCAGACTCCTTAATCTCCCTCCTTATGTGTGGGTTTTTTTCCCCTCGTTAAATTACATGAGGACTGGAAAGCCCTCAAAATAGACATTCAAAAAACTTGCAGGTAGAAAGTTCTTGGGCCTCAAATAAGACGCACTGGCCACTCCAAGTGGTCTTGACACATTTGGGGGAGGGGGGGGCTTCCAAGTCCGAAACGTTCTCCTTTTGTTCTAATTGTGGTGCTGTAACGTGGCGTTACTGTAACGGTAGCGTTAGAAACCCAGGAGGAACTCGTTGTTCCTGCCCTGACAACGTTTTTATTAACTGTCCACATGAAACCTGATCAGGTTTCGCTCCTGTCAGGCGAGCCATGGGGCTTCATGAGGGGGCGAACGAGGCGACTGAGCCGCCTGAGGGGCCGCCGGGCCGCCCTGAGGCGAAGCGGCAGCTGACCGTCACGCGCCCGGCGGCGCCCGTGGGCGGCGAAGGGAGCGAGCGGCTTTTCGACGGCGGGGGATAATCCCGTTGCCGGGGCGACCGCGAGTCCCTCCTCCTCCCCCCCTTCCCTAGAGAGAGCCAT